GGGAAGGGAAGGGGTAACCCATGCAATTTTAGTAATGTTAGTATAGTCATTTAGGCCCTGTTTGGTAGGCATTATTTTTTTCATTTTCATTCTTCTACTCATTTTCAACCACACATTCTTCCATAAAATAATATTTTCCATCACATCAATAATTTTTCCTTCATTTTTAACCACACCTTCTCCATCAATCTACTATTCAATAATACATTCTTTCAAAAGAATGTGTCTCAAACATACTCTTAATGATGAAGTTCTTTACCTCAAGTTAGCAGACAAAACATGGTCAGTACCAAAGACATTCTCGAAGGCACCCCTCTCTTTTAAGAGGATTCGAGGCAAGTCAATCCTTGATAAAATTCTTCGGTTTACATCGAGTTAAAACATCATGCTACATACATTGTGCGGGCTCCCGTGTCGAGTTCGGTGTATCAAGATAGTTATGAATACAATCATGTTTGGTGTAAATAATCCTTTATAGCCTGTAACATGATATCATTTAATTGGACAATTTAAAAAAGAAAATAGTTTTTTCAACCAATCTTTTCTTGATAACACAGCAAATGCCAAAGTGTAAAGAGGGAATGAAGTGTACAAACAGCATAATCCTCTTAAATTTGAACTGTCACATTCTCACAACTGCCTGTCAAACAGCAATGTCAATAAGTCAACTAGGGTTTTCTCCAATTCCCATGCCCGTGTCAAGCATCTTCAAACACATGGTACAAGTCTTCCTCAAAACTTCGCTCATTCTCATACAATGTTGCCCACTTTTAATGATTCTTTAGGAGTTTGACTTATTGAGTTCTCCATAAAACTGATTCATCACTTCCCATACCCCACCTACTCTCCTCGTGTTCTGTTTCATCATTTTCTTGATTTCACACAATATCACCAGCTAACATCATGATTCTGATTTCTGAATTTCTAATTCATTAACTGTTCATTCCAATTTCAAAGTTTTTTTCTCAAGTTCTTCCCAATGGGAACCATTCACATTCAAGAATCTCAATCTCTTACTCCAGTCAATAGCCCTTCTCCTTCAATATCCAACAATGGATTCCCAATCCTAGCCATTGCAGTACTTTGCATCACAGCCACATCTTTCTTACTAATCAGCTACTATATTTTGGCCACAAAATGCTGCTTCAGATGGCAACAGTTCGACCCTTTGCGACGTTTTTCTTTTAGACGACAGACGAGGAATGATGATCCATTGACAGCCTACTCTCCCTCGTGGCAAAGCCGAGGCCTCGAAGAGTTACTTATTCGAGAAATCCCCACTTTACAGTATAGTAAAAATGCAGAAAATGGGATCCTATCGAAATGTGTGGTGTGTTTAAATGAATTCCAAGAACATGATATACTTAAACTCCTTCCCAAATGTAATCATGTTTTTCATTTAGACTGTGTTGATATATGGCTTCAGAGCAATGCAAATTGTCCTCTATGCAGATCAGCCATTTCAGGCAGAAATCGATACCGGCTCGACCGAATCACTGCACCAAATTCTTCACCTCAAGATCCACAACCCTTGAGCATTGCTGGAAGTGATGAAGATTTTGTTGTGATTGAACTGAGTAGACTACAAGAAAGGGGTGGTTCAAGCAGAAACCTGGATCCTTCAAGTACAACTCATTCATCAAGAAAGTTTGATCAGAAAATTGGCAAATCAAAACCCAGAAAATTTCATCACGTTTCAATCATGGGAGACGAAGGCATTGATGTAAGAGAAAAAGACGATCAATTTTTAATACAGCCAATCAGAAGATCTTTCTCAATGGATTCCGCGGCGGATCGACACTTTTATTTGTCAGTTCAAGAAATTATGCAGCGAAATGGGCAGTTGTTCGAGGTAGGAAACAATGAAGAAAGCAGTAGCAGAGGAAATAAATCAATTTTTTCATTTGGACATGGAAGAGGATCAAGAAACTCTGTTCTTCCTATTTGAATTTTATTTCTTAGAAAAATCATCAAACACATTTACTTGTTATTTAGTTGCAGATTTTTATTTGGATTTGATATATTTTTCTGTCTGTAGAATAGTAATCGAAGGATTGTTCTTAGTTTGCAGCATTGACATATTGTTCAAAGTTATTTTATATAGAAATTGATGCGTCTAACAAAGGCCTATCCTAATTTTGGTCAACTCTCCAGATTCGGTCAAACGATGTCTAGATTTTTTATAAATTTTTAGATTACTCCCTCCCCTTATTGCATGTTTGGCAAAGCTTAAGTTTTAGATAATCTTTTAAGTTAGTTTAACATACCCCTACATTTCCTAAAATCACAATCTACTACCCATTTGTTATCCATTCATTTGATAAGACTCACAATTTATAAGGATTAAGACTTGGAGTATGTTTGTCTCCATTTCAGTATTTTAACGATACAAGATTTATTCTTTGATATACCTTCAAAAATGGTTGCTCATTTAAGCAAATCGGTCTTGGAAGGTAAGTTGGAATCTATGGAAGCTACTTGGAGAAAGATTAAAGCTTGGATCTCTTGGGTGGGGTTAAAACTAAAAGAAGCGAGATCATTAAGCAGAAGAGATGTATGGGTTTTGAAGGAACTTAACATACCAGCCGAGCTGATTAAGGAAAAAAGAATTAGAGTAGTCAGATGGCAACGACCTATGCACGAATGGTATAAACTCAATACTGATGGATGTCTGGAAATCCTTGCATTTGTGGTGCAGGATGTATTATTCAGAATGAGAAGGATGATATTGTTATTGCCTTTACTGAGTATCTCGATGAGGGTACCAATAATGGTGCTGAACTACCTGCATTATTATATGGGCTCCGACATGCTAAAATGATGGGAATTAACCGACTTGAAGTGGAGCTCGACTCATTTATTATCGTTAATTGGCTAAAGAGGAAGGTTTGTGAGATTTGGTATTTAGAGGATTATTGGGAAGAAATACAATATATTTTGTCTATTATCTCATGTAGAGTTCAGCACATACATCACGAGGGTAATTCAGTCGATGATATCTTGTCAAAATTGGGAGTGTCTAGTGTTTCACAGATCTGGATGAATTCTATTGCAATCCCATCATCAGTCAGAGGAGCTTTGCAAATGGATAAACTTGGTATTCCTTATTTTAGAGGTTCTTCTCCCCACGGTGACTTTAAATTTTCCAATATTGTTTTAGATTACTAGGAGTTTTGGGGAAGAGTAACAAAAATAGTTTAGCTGGTTTTATTTGATTTTGTAACCACGGGTTTTCTCTACTACAAGTGATGTGCTATTAATAAGAACTTACTGTTCAGTAAAAAAAATAAGCACTACCAAACAAGCCAGATTTTAATTGCATTATACAAATAAGACCTTTAGGGACTGTGCACAAGACTCTTTGAAGAACAAATCTAGTCTCCAATATATATTAAATGAATCAACAAGTCTAAATTTTAGAAATCTTCAGGAATCAACAAGTTTTTTCCCACTTATTTCATGACATTTATGTATGATTCAATAAAAACTAAAAAATCGTTTGCGAATTTTATGTTTTCACGTTTTCATACACGCTGATAGTCAGCACAAGAATGATGTAACCAATAAAATAATTTAGTTTCCTTTATCTATGAAAAAATAGTTACAGAATTCTCTTCATTCTTTTAACAATGGGTGACAAAAAGAGTAGGCACAAGGCAGGGGTTGGAATAATAGCTAAGCCATAATGAGTGGATAAGAATTTCTTGTGCTAATGAGACTCTCCTTCATGAACGAAAATGATTGTGTTCCAACTTTTATGTATCAAAGAATGCAATGGCAAACAGGCAAAAAGACAAATCTTTTCCAAACAATGAGAAGCAATTCAAGACTTCTACTTCAAGTTTACTTATGCTTCAATCTGTATCTTACTTTGGCTTCCAAGATCTTGACATTTAATTTAAATTCTTGCTTGAGATAGTCTGAAAATAGGGTAGTATCTATAAATTATTGGGTCTATCAAGTCACAAGAAAATCATTAAAGTCTTCAAGTTTACATGGGTATGGTGTCCGTAGTAGGCTATTATAAAGTAAAATCAGTGTTTATAGAGAGGGATAAAGTTCTCTAGATTTTGTTGGAAAGATAGCTCTAATAGTGGGACTAGACGTACTTTCACCTTAGGTAATTGTAATGGTCAAGATGATGATTGCGAAGATCCTTGAAAATTCGTGAGAGATTAAGAATACATGTAAAATTTACAGCCCTCTAAACATTGTACATGTAGTGCAGTTCTTATCCATATATTTGCAAGTTTTGATTAAAATCATTGGATTTGGGCATAGTGTAGATGTTTCGATATTTATGCTTCATTGAACTATAAAAGGAAAAAATGACCTATTTAGAGGAAAATATATAATTACACTATTACTACGCGGGTCCATTTGACCCAACGGTCCAAAATAAGCCTAAAAAGAAAGTGGGTTGTACAACATTCAATTCTAACCATTTTGGGCTTCTAACGGTCCAAATACACCCGTTGCGTAAAATTACATAAAGACCCTTGTCGAATTCCCGCGAAGAAAAGTGGCGCCAATTCTAACCTGGCAACTCGCCACGTCAGCTTCCCCGCCAAAAAACCCTAATATATCTCTACATTTTCTCATAATTCCCCCATTTCACCTTCGTTTTACTGGTTTACCTCCACCCTTTGTGTTTGTGTTCACTTCCATTTACTGGTTCATCTATACTCTGTGTGTTTGTGTTTGTAATGATGGAGTCCGCTAGATCTTCAGATGTGGACTTGATGAAGTCAAAGAAGGCCATAAGTTCACCGGCGCCGTCGCATCAGAAGGTACGGATTAAAGCTCCAGATTTGGATCCAAATCCACTGAGTGTCAAAACCCCTGGGAAGCCTGCTGATCCACCTCGTCGTTTACGCAATCGAAATGCTGTGCTGTCAATAAAAGAAATTCGGCAGGCGGCCAATAAGCTCCGGGAGCAGGTTATTGACCCGCCCGCTCGACCCGATCTGCTTATGAATTCCTCTGAGCCTGTGGACAACACCAAATCGAAAAGGAAGAAGTCTAGTAGTAATGCTGATATAAAGCTTCCTGAAAAGTAAGTGTTTTTCTGAAATTGTTTAAAAAAAGGGGGTGGGGTGAGTACAGGAACGAGTTTTTTTACTTTTTGTTTGTAGGAATTCTAGTATTCTTTCGATTAATTAAAATGAATGCCATTGGTGAATCGAAGAATTTTTTTTTGCATTCCTAATATCAAACGTTGGGAATACTGATGTTGCATATAAATGATCTCTTCAAGTTATTGATGAAATGAGAGACGGGGGCATTATCCCGAGATGCTTACCTATAATTTGGACAGTTATTTTTGATTACTCTGTAATGTCTTGATTATCTTTTGGCAATTAATGGTAAATGTGATGTCTGTGTTTCAGGTACGAGTTGTTGGATCAGTTCTTCAACAGCTTAGATAGCTCAATCAAGCTGCTACATTTAAAGAGATCTGCACCAAATTTTACTAATATTAGCCCCCAGATAGAGAGATTGACGGATAGGTGCATAATTAGTTTCAGTTAAATATTTTTCGTTAATTATTTTTTGCTTCTGATATATCGTTAATTTATTGTTTGGTTAAATTTTCAGGAGGTTTACATATAGCCATTTAGCTCAATTGAAGTTTATTATGCCTGAGGCTATTGAGTTAAAGAAGGTCCTCCTGCATGATGAGCGCACAAGTTGTATGAAGCCGGATCTTCATGTTGCACCAAGTGTTGAAGCAATTGAGAATAATAGGAAATCGAAATCTGATGGTGGGAATCTGCAGCTGAGGAAAGTTTTTCGAGCTCGACTGTTGGATTTTATAAAATCGCATCCACATGTACCATGTTTGATACTTGTTCAGCGGTCCCTCACTGCATGTTGTTCAACATATATTTATAATAATTATGTGCATATTTAATGAATAAGATTTGGAAAAATAAACTAGATCATTCTCAATAACGACACTTGATATTCTTCTCAAGAAACTTACATGAGTAATTTTGGATAGCCTGGCTATAACCTGATTGCAGGTATACACAATCATAACTTGGATGAAGAACAGAACTTGTTATTTTGTTTCATTAGATATTAAAATTTACATAGGTCTTATTCTGTTGTATGAAATGAATCGGTTTCAGAAGCCATGAAAATGTACATATTTCACATTCGAACAAAAAAAAATGTTAATCTTAAATCATGTTTATATCAGTAAGAATGATGAGCTGAAACTAATTAAATAATTATTGTTTTGAGAATTAAGATTGAAAGAGAATGCTAGAGATTCACTGCCTGCATAAGAAAACTGTTTGTCGTATCTAGATAGGTTTTTCATCTAGAAATAGAGCCAACCATTTAGCCATACAAGAAATGATAGCTCTTTTCAAACTTTTGCATGCTCTTTGACTTTGAGGGATTTAAGTTATTCAAAAACCAAAAACATGGGCATCACTTAAATTAGTCAAGATAGAAGGGCTCAGTCTATTCGTATATGGTGCATCAGTCAATGTATTTTTATATTGTGGTGGTGTTGTTTTGCTTGAATCTACGTGACTTACAAAAGACCACATCTGAAATCAGGGGGATGAGGTTCCAGAGGAAGTACTACCAGAGCCATTCAGTCGGTTGCAACAGACGAACTTACTTAGAGCCTCAACTTCATCATTGAGGAGTGAGACACCTGCCATGGAATTTGCACAAGGGCATCCAGCAGCAGCAGCATCACATCTATCTCAAGCTTTCAAGAAGTCTTTCTCCCGACGGGGCTCAACCCATTATGCAGAAAACTTGAAGCAAGAGTATTCAGCTGTCTCCATCCATGCTCCAGTTTCAGAACCCAAGCCAGCCAAATGCCCTTATGATCAGGAAACTAGTGCATTTGCTGCCAATTCTCCTTCCAATATATCTGTGAATCTAGCAAGTGTAAAATGCTCGGCCAATGTGGCTTCATCAGCTAGTTTATCACCATCTCTTCTGGAAACCCCTGTAAAAAACATAAATTCCTCCAGTGAAATGTCTACCTCTCAAAGAACTCCTACAGAACTTGTCTACTCCCCGGCCGAACTGATGAGTGCCACTCCTGTGCTTCGAACACCTAAGAGACGATACATGAGCCCAAATGATGATTCATTTAGATCACCAAGCAAACTGGTCCAGCGTCCACCCCGTAGTAAGAGGTCTTTGATTCTTGACACCCCTGTGAAGAATGTGAAGATTGAGGATGATTTGAGTGAGATTGGAAAGTCGTCAATTGATCATGAAGTCTTTGATATTCTTCCAGAGACACTTATCCAATCAGTAAACACTGAACTTCCTATATTTTGTTTCTTAAAGTCTATAATTTTTACCCAATACATCTAGATATGTTAGTGCCTCGTACAGCCACTATATACTTCGTACTTCAACTGATTTTGTAATGCAATCTACAATGCCCCCACAGATCAGAGAAAAAGAGAGGAGAATATCATTGGAGTTGGATCCAGCCATCTCTCAGGCAAAATGGCGTCGAAAAATGATTGCCAGCTTACCCAAGTTCTTTGACACAGTCTATTTCCTCTTTAAATCAATCAAACGTTCCGTCATCACAAAAGAGGAGCTCATGCATAAAATAATCGCTGGCCATATAGCTGTTGTTGACAGAAGTAAGCTTAATCTTTAAGAATGAGAAACTTGAGTCTTTTCTGGTATTGAAATTGAGCTCAATGCCCTTGTTCTACTTTTTGCAGGAGAGATTGAAGAACAACTCAGATTGCTGCAAGAATTAGTTCCAGAATGGATTTATGAAAAGGCAGCATCTAGTGGGGATCTCCTCTTATGGTCAGTCTTACAAATTTTGTTGCTTCCATGAATTGTACATGGTTTACAAGTTCTTCTAGAAAAATTCTACTCATTGTATGATATGACGGTTAATTACGTGTATTAATCATTAAACCTTAACATTTTACATTTTGGTGTTCTTAACGGCTATAACCTTTTGCAGCGTTAACAAGATTTCGAGTCCTGAATTGATACGCACGAGACTTGCCGAGCCAAGTGAGAGAACCAAGAGAATACCAGCGGACATGAAGTGCCATTTTGTAAATATTTATTAGTTTCACCATGAGCCACACATAAAATCAAATGCACTTCCAATTCCTAATTCTGGCTAATTCGATTATATGCAGTTGGATTACAGTATCAATTAGTATCAGCCAAAAGCTGCACTTCCTTTGTACCTCTTTACATGGTTCTTATCAACTAAAATATGTTTTCATTGTTCAAATTCTTCTTGTAATCGCCCAAATTTTATTTTTCATGTTTTTGCAGTCTAGTTCATATCTTTAATGTGTTTTCACCTCAATTCCTGTTAACTATAAATACATAAAGTTGTGATTCTAATGAACATTGTAACTCGAGAGGAGTTGGGAATGAATCTATAGATTCCTGATTCATGTGATTAAGATCAAAATTGTTTTCTGCATTTTGCATATTAAACTCTCATTTAATTAATCTGAAAACACAAAGTACGACTCTCAGATGGTGGCTTCTTTTTTTTTTTTAGTATTCGAGATTGTCTCTGTTAGTGCATGATGCAAACATCATATGTTGATTGCATAGAATTAAGCTATATTCCAACATATTAATCAACAATTGCTCATATTTTGACAGTAAAATAAGTATGTAAAACGTACTTATCACCTAACTTGGTCACCATACAGTGATCACTGGCGAAACCTTCGAAGAATTTCATCTCTTATCCTCCTACAAGGTACAGATGAGCTCCAACATTCAAGCCGATGAAGCCCGAATCCTTATTCAAAAATTCGTTCAGTTAACCAATGATAATCCGAATAAGGCTGTAGAATTCAAATGGGTTTTGTTTGAATTTACGTTTAATGTGATAACAAGGATGATTACTGGGAAAAATTACAAGATTGGTGCAGAGATTTATCAGGAGATAATAAGTGAGATGTCGAGGGTGACAATGGAGGCAAATGTAGTGCATATTTTGCCATTTATGAAATGATTTGGATTGAAGAAAATAGAGAAAAAGATGAGATCAATATAGATTAAGAGAGACAACTTTATGCAAAATATAATCGAAGAACATCGTAGGATTGTATTGGAAGATGATAGCGTAAAGGAGAAAAGTACATTACAAATATTACTGGATTTGCAGAGAGAAGAACCAGAATACTATTCCGATGAAACTATCAGAAACCTCCTCTTGGTAAGAACCATCCAAATCCATTTCTTAGTTAGACCATGTTTGGTTAAGTTTAAATTAACTTGCTTATAAGTAAATAATCCACTTTATTTTGCGTTCTTAATGGGTTCTAGTCCATGGAGCAACTCATACTACATCAGCGACAATGGAGTGGGCATTTTCACATTTCCTTCACATTTTCACATTCATAAATGCATGGTATATTCAAACCAACGACGAAACATGGGCTGAAGCTGAAAAATTCAAGCCGGAGCGATTCGAAGGTTTCCGAGGAGGAAAAAATGAGTTGAAATTCTTTCCCTTTGGATGGGGGAGAAGGGCATGCCCAGGTGAAAAATTTGGCAATGCGCGTACTTGAATTGGCATTGGGGTCTCTAATACAATGTTTTGAATGGGAAAAGATTGAGAAAATTGACATGAGTGAAGATAAAGGAACTGTTACACCAAAGATTCACCCTTTGATTGGTAGATATAATCCTCGTCCCTTTGTTTACAACCTCATCAACTTCGTATACAAATGAAAGTGTCTTGGGTCAACGTGTCAAGGCACAAAAGGGTTCGTGAAACTTGCATAAACCAAATGTACTACAACTTTGTTCGTTTCTGTTCAATTTCACGTACCAAATATGTGTGTTTAAGGTAATTTTCGATTCATGCATATGAAAAGTGTGCCTTAAATTGCTCTATTTCCTAACATCCTACGTTCATCATTAGAGGGTTAAGAAACATTGGACGTGTTCAGTAGAGATTAAAATCGGATTAAAATTGAAAAACTAGCTGTTATTGTTGACTTTTATTAGACGAGTGAGATCCAATAACGACACTATATTTTCAATTTTAATTGGATTTTAAGCTTAGCCAAACTACAAATGAAAGTGTCTTGGGTCAACGTGTCAAGGCACAAAAGGGTTCGTGAAACTTGCATAAACCAAATGTACTACAACTTTGTTCGTTTTTGTTCAATTTCACGTACCAAATATGTGTGTTTAAGGTAATTTTCGATTCATGCATATGAAAAGTGTGCCTTAAATTGCTCTATTTCCTAACATCCTACATTCATCATTAGAGGGTTAAGAAACATTGGACGTGTTCAGTAGAGATTAAAATCGGATTAAAATTGAAAAACTAGCTGTTATTGTTGACTTTTATTAGACGAGTGAGATCCAATAACGACACTATATTTTCAATTTTAATTGGATTTTAAGCTTAGCCAAACATGCTCTGAATTTTTAAATTAATCTATAGAGTATATTTTCGATTTTTGTGCGACATTGAAGTGAACATTCGATGACACATTCATTTATATGAAGATGTTATTTGTACAACATTACGAAATAGATTGAATAAAATTTCAAAAGTCTTAATAAATACAAGCAATTATCAGCATCAACATTAATGCAGAAACAGGGCTTTCAGGTATAAACATCCAAGAATGCAGCATGTGCACTATAGAATGGAAAAAATGAACCCCATATAAACCAGAATTCAACCTGACATTTTTGAAGTAAAACCTAATTACGATTTTCAGAATCAAGCCACTTCAGTGATGGCATTAACTTAAACAGAAATAATTTCAACTCATCATTAACAACTGCATTTCCCATAATATCTAATTGTATCAAATTCAAGCCCCGGAAAATAAAAAAAGCTTCCCAATGATTTGTCAACTCGACACCTGAATTTGTAAATTCCTCGAAATTCCAATCATTTTCGACTGTGTGTGTCATGGGAGATGAGCATAAATACCTTCTTGTGTCAACAGAGTGAGGACCAATCTCATTGTATGAAATGTCTAATACCTTTAATGATTTCAACATTCTTAAGGGATCCAATGCAGTAAAACTGCAAATTTTATTGTTGCTAAGGTTCAAGCAAGAAAGCAATTGCAGAACCTTCAAACCTGTCAAAGAATCGAATAAAAAGACAAAAATTACTTCTTCATTTTTCTCACCAGTAGTAACAAGTTAAAAGGTTGGTCATGAGTGGGTCGATGCATAGCAAAAATATCATTACATCGTGTAGCAAGGTAAAGAGAGAGAGAATGGGAGTATTGAATATCACGAGTCGATGTCTAACTTATTTGGTATACTAGCAGTCCTATTTACATGTAAAACTTCCCACCAAGAACAAAAACTTGATAGGATAACAAATTAGAAAAAATATATCTTTAAAATAACGAAACAAACAGACCCTTAATTTTACGACCAACAAGTATGTAATTTTGGAATGCGATCTCCCCTTCATTAGGATTGCAATTTTGGTTATGAACGATACCTCTACAATCTAACCTCCTTCACCTATAAGTCTACAAGTATTTAAAATTATAAAGCGAGTTAAATTGAAGAATTTGAAGTATTTCTTGCCATGCTTTCTCCTAACGCAGCAATAGCATTGCTCCATAAATTGGATACAAGTATTTAAAATTATAAAGTGAGTTAAATTGAAGAATTTGTAGTATTTTTTGTCATGCGTTCTCTTAACTCAGCAATATCATTGCTCCATAAATTGGAGGATGATGCACCTCCATGTGTCGAACCTATGATTTCACAAAAAGCATTTTTACTAATACAAGTATTCAAATCTGACATATATGATAATTGTGGTCTTATAACACAACTGAAAATACAGACTGAGAACTATTTGTGAGCGGTCTAGTATAATTCAACCTACGACAATATAATACTGCCTCTTGTCAGAGAAAATAGAACATCTGGAAAAGACGCAAGCAGTTCAGGTCAACATTTCTTCCCTTTTTTCCTTTGTTAGGTAAATATCTCATATCAATGTAGATATTCACAACCCATGACACAGCTTGTAACTACATAATTCTACTAAACACCTAAGATTGAAAATGATAGATCAATGATCCATGTATTTAAAAGATCAATACATGTGTGTATAACACAATTACCTTCAATTATCGAATTTTGTTGTGGCTGAGATCTAACATTTGAATCCACAATAATCGCTCGACACTCCCAATTCGCGATAACGAAAGTTTATTGAGCCGTAAACATAAAGAAGAATACATACTTGGTGAAGTTGAATCTCCATATTGATTACAGTATCTCAGAATAGATTCCATACTCGAAGTCACCTGCAAAACAGTCACTCAATTATCTGAAGTTTTAAGCAGAAGTCACTTATCCATATTGATTGCTGTCCATATAAGACATGCTCTTACGCAACTTACAACAGACAAGAATCTGTAATGTAAAATTGAAAATTATAAAACACAGCAAAACTTTACAGTATAAAAGGACTTCATTATTGGACCCAAAATTTTCAAAATAATGGATGAATTCATGATATCTGATTCAGACAGCATGATATCTCCCCACGAACAAAAATATTAGTCTAATCTCGACCGTAAACTGCAAATAATCAATTCTTGGAGTACATCTCTTTCTAACCACAGCTACATTCATTGCAAGTAGCATATATAAGCTCAATAATTAAAAAAATAGAGCTGAAATCTCTTCATGGAAATAAATTTGAACTTGAACTTGAATTCCATTTAAATTTTACAATAAATGATTGCATGTCAAACAGAAATATATCAAGAGGCCAGTTTGCAAAATATAAGGCTTGGAAATTCCAATGACTACTAATTTATATGTAATGGGTTGTAACTCCTTAATGCACAATAAACACGTTTAACTCAATATCTAACAGCTAGATTATGGTCCCAGATTTAATAAACAAGAAGTACATAACAAACTCTACATGGAACAATATATCTCCATGTAACAGTTGCTTTCCAAGAGTAGCGATGCCAAGAAAATGTAAGTCACCTGTTTTAATAGGACTAGGCTGTACTCATCCTCATAGTAACAAATATGTACAGGGTCCAACTTCATCAAATCATGATACAGTCCAAGAATTTCTTTGTAATGGACCTCAATTCCGTCATTTGGAATACCATATGAGATCAATTGGTTTTGTGCCATCAGCAATCTTGCAAGAGTCAGTTTCCCAATTTTACTACAGGAAAAAGAAAAGAAAAATTACCAAACTTACTAAATAAATTATCTTCCCTATAGACCCCATGTTTCTCAAAAAATGGATCCAGCTAACCAGTTTGTTGATGACAATAGTTCCCGACAGTGAATAATTTCATTGGCTATGGTCTTCATACTCCAATCAGAAGCCGCCTTTGATTTACCCTCCTCAGTGATTTTTAATTGATGAAGGGAGTGTAGCAAGCTAGCATCCTGAGATTGTATACCATCTGAGCAAAAAATTTTATCTTTCCATGAAAATCTCGGTATTGTTTGCCCCTCTGCATGTTCTCGATCATGGGATGGTACACACAGTGAGAACTCTATGTGCGAACTCAGACTACAGGAGAAACCACTTGATGAAACAATACCCGGAAACTGTGCTACGAAAATTTTTACAGGGCAATCCTTTAGAGAGTGCACTTCATCAGGAAAATTTAGGAAAGTTAACCATGCTTGGGAAAAACCAAATTTATTTGCTGAAAGTGGTCTCCAAATAACATCCTCATTAGCATAGTATTCACATTCAATAGTCACAGTAGAAGAGTTTACACCTTCAACTGGTTCGTTGAAATATAGTACGAGTGGAAACATTCTATCTTTAGACTGGAAATGCATGCCTGGAAATAAATTACGACCGTCTAAGTAATCAATTGATAAATATAGACTAGAGCCATGAGGAGGCCACGAAGAAAGTAGGAAGGGTTCCAGTTTAACCGTTTGATCCAGGAGCCAAAGATGATAAAACCAACCACTTTGATCATCCGGGTCTGTAAATAGAGCATTACGTACAAACTCAAATTCCTCTTCCAAAACGCTCTCTTTGTGACTTTGTCTTTCTCCTCTTTTCTCGAATAGATGAGACAAAAGCACACTGAAAGTTCATTGGTGAAAAAATTTGAGGAGAATGAAAATAAGTATACCATATAAAACAATTAATTGTACTGGAGATTGGAATAATTTTTACGATAGGAAGTAGTTATTAAATCTACTTACTTTAACGAACAAAAGAGATTCTTTGCATTGATAGGGGTGTCAATCAAGATTTTTTGAGTTCAAGCTTGGCTTGAAAAATGATCTCAGAGATGAGATTGATCTAGCACAAGCTCATAAATCATATAATTTACACCACAACAAATATCATATCTTGATGCTTTAAATTGTGTTTGACTTAATGGCTCAATACATAAATGTACATGGGTGATTTGTAAAATGTGATAAGAAACTAAGAAAGTGAAACAGAGCTACTTAGCAATGGCTAATAAACATCCTCTTATCTAGTTCAAATCAAGTCTACTCTTGATCGTGGTATGCTTGAATGTAGATTCAACCCTGAACCGTAAGCTTAAAATTGGGGTTGACTCATACTGATATCAGGCTCAACTTAAAAAATTATCCAAGGGAGCTTGCAAGCTTTGAGTAGCTTGTTCTATTTGAAAATCCTACACATTGTTATTCACTTAGTTACAAAAAAATGACTTTATACACTTAGTGCCCTATCAATCTCCATAATCAAATAATTCAAACATTTATATTACATTTACACCATCTAGCAATACCATAAATTTGACTAAATGTTATTTGTTGGAAAGAAAACACGCATTGTACCATTAGTCCTGGACAAGGACTAAAGTCTAAAACGAATTGCTAGACTTGACTATGAAACAAATGAATTCCAAGGGCGAAGAAAAAAAGATAATATAAAAGAAAGAAAAGAGTGGAACTATGTGCCGAAGGTCTCCTGCCATCGGTAGCCTGCCACTATAAACTTACAACTTTACTTGGGAGGGGGGGACCACACTTCAGTTGAGACTGGAACATGCCTGCTACACTTGTTCTCTTCTCTATTCTCCATTTTATATATTTCTAGTTTTTGTTCAACTGTATTTAAAGTAGCTCAAAAAATTCTTAAAATGCTCTAACTACAAAATAATCAGCTTAGAAAGTTTAGCATGATAATAAGAAGTCCCAAAAGGTCATAATAAGAAGTCCCAAAAGGTCAGGACAAATGAGTGCACACTTCAGCTGCCCAAAGTCATATGCTTTGAGGCATACGACTCAATAAGTCATGGCTTAAACCTTGCTAAATGACACTGAAAATGTACGGTTTGAGGCGCTCAATGAAGGCATTTATGTGAGACGGGCCCTAAGGTGAAAGCTTAAAGTTCTTTGTAAAACAATGGCTAATTCTTATTCTCTCCTTTTTGTATTTTTCTTCCTGACACTTTTGAAGATTAATAATCAAGCAGTCATTCCATGATGCAAAAACTGTAAACATGAAATAAAATAAGTATTTTGCTCTGAGATAAAGAACTAAAGTTTGCATTATCCATGGTTCACAGAGCACATATAAGTAAAAATAGAAATCTGACACAAATAGGAGTGATGTATTATTAATACCTTCTGTTATGCCAGGCAGAATAATTGCTAAAATTATCGTATATCATATCTGTAGTGTATTGCAGTTCCTCTTCATCTGATATCTTCTTTAACATCGTTATGAACCTGAAAATAAAGGCCCAAATAGAATAACATCAACAAATGCAACTATCAATTAACTCCCAAGAAATCAAAATTTCAGTTATTAACCTCCTATAGTTCCAGGCATGGAAATTCCGGGAGTCCAACTTCTGAAACTTGCCCAGAAGACGCAATTCCTTGTCTGTGGAAGAATGCCTCTTGCTCAGAACCCATTTGCGATGATACCACGCACCATAAGACTTAAAATTCTTCTTCAATGCATTTTCTACCTAATGAAATTTTACACTAACCGATTAATGGGGAGAACAATCAATTTATTTAATGCATTTTATAGTCAGTGAAAATTCATAATAAGTGATTATTGGACTGCACAACGAATTCATAATATAGAAATACATATTGAAACTTCAAAGCAGAGAAAGTATATAAATTAATTTTCCAAGACATACTTGATTCTCATAAAACAACTGAAGTGGAAAGTGGATGAAAACTTACAACTTTCAATTCCTCATTTAGAACTGAATGGATAGACTCGGAATCAACTTCGATCTCTGACTGGTGATTGAGAAAGTGTTGTACGGCAAGTTTTCGGTAATTCCAACCAGTATAATGCTCTGGATTCACTTCTAACAGCTTTGCACTTATTTCTAAAGCTTCTTTTGTATATCTGCAATTTAGAAAACAAAATCAGTCAACCCCCCAACCCAAAAATTATAGATTATAGATAACAAATACCAAAAAATTGCTGAAATTTTATTGTGATGTAGGTGAAGGAACTGAGATTGGAGATCACGAAGTTCAGTGGCTTTTAGGGCTGAAGCTTCTTGCTCTTCTTGACTTGCGGTTTTACGCGATATCCCATGCATTTTTCTGTACCCCCTTTCTTCCTTGTTGGACTTCTTGTTTAGATCTAGCCCCTTCCTGGGCAAGAGAAAATGGGAATTGCTACAAAAATTGAAAAATTGTATCCAAATGCCAAAATGGAGACCGAAGTTGCAATCAAATGATTTAGCACTCTTCTGTATACTTTCACTTTTGATGTAAAAATCTATGTAGTTAATTTCATTTACAATGGAAAATAGCTTTAAAAGGTGTGAAACCACATTTCCGATAAAAAAGATAAACATTTTGCCCCAAAGGCGTAGAATGGTGTGTGAGCTTCTTCAACTTTTCACTATTTTCCTAGCTCAAGTTGAGAATCTCGAATTTTCATCTAGATACTCTCAGTTATCTTTATCTATATTGTTTATTTTACTATGGTCAAGAAATTATTCTTTTGAGTTTATACTCTTATTTTCTCACTCCGGATAGTGATCTAAATAAAAGGTTTGCATATATTTCTACCTTAAATTATATATTCTATCTCCCCTGAAAATGCTATCGATGACTACCCAATAAGTATTAGATCATATTTCTGGGATTATTCTTAATTAACAAAATTGATCAATGAATGGTGTACTTTATAAAACTCATTGAAATATTAAAAAATGTTGTTCATCTTTGTGTTCTACATAAAAATGGCCAAGAATATTGATCCAAGCAGGCTTGTCCAATTGATCCAACATACATCACTGCGTTCATAGGAGAACAATAAATTGAAAATTAAAAACACTCAACACCAGAATAATCCACATATACCAAAATGCATATTAACTTTTTCCTCAAAAAATTTGGGAACGGCGAATTGCCTGAAATGGGAACTCAGAAATGGGCCAAATTGGAAGAACCAAAATACCGAATCAAAGTGGGAAGTCTCGAGCAGAAAAGTTAAGAGTTAAACCCCAAAGAACTAAGTTTCAAATTATAAGCAAAAAGAAAAAAAAATGCAAAAAAAAAACTAAGATTTCAACTGAACACTCAATTTCCCTGGGCCCAAAAAATTAAAAGATAAAATAAAATAAAATCTAAACTATCAATTTCAAGAGAACATCCAACTTAAGATAGCAGGCAAATAAAAATAAAAATTCCAAAAAGAAAGAAATCGGAGGCAGGTGGAATCCTCACCTACTGCGGCTGCCGGCGGGATGAAGTACCGGTGCACTGCCAGCTGAACTCTGGATAGCGAGATCGGTGAGTCAGTAAATTTGTCAACTAAAATATAATATTGTGTCTGCGGTGACTCAGAAATTTTGATCATTTCATTGGGATCGGATTTCTACCCAATTAAGAAACATTAATGGGCATGCCCAGCTCATTTAGTGTATTTGTTCTCATTGGGCCTTAATGGGCTCTGCCCACAATCTGAAGGAGCAACCACTTTTAACGATGGGAACTCCTTGATTATGGAGTTTCATATCCTAATTGTACCAGAACAAGGACTTCGTGTTTTGGCTATATAAAGTCCCTTTGGTACTTAATTTTCGTGCAAATCATAAAACTTCGTAAGATAGAATAATCCTTATACAAACTTCAACTACTTTGAAGATGACAAATTCTGAGATTTCACAAAATGATGGTCATAATATTAAATTACATGTCATCAATATTATTCCTATCGTAGAAGAATCTTCATATAATGTCACGGATGGCACTCCGACCGCGGTTGCCACCATCGAAGTAGTAACGGCGAAAGATCAACAAAGGGAGAGTGGCATAGAACCCCTAACACAAGACGATATAGTCCAACATTCGATACTAGATAATGTCTTGATCATTATATTCAGGATAGCTTATGTCGGAGTTATAGGAGTCTATTTGTATTGTTGTATTTTGTTCGCCTATGTTTTGTCAGAATGGCTCTATGGAAACAATTGAATCTATTTTTCAAGTCAAATTTCCATTAATTATCCTTAATTTCAGAATGAGTTTGCTAGCAACCATTTTGAGTCTGTCTGATTATCGTCCGTTTGAGGTCTTAGGTTGAATAAAAGATTTCTAGTATGAATTTATTTTAATGTTTTCTTATTATTATTTATTAGTTGTAATTTGTTCCATATGCACGTTAATGCTTTAATTATCATTGTCCTTGTTGTATCTGCGTGATTTAATTTGTTCCATAATATGAGGGTGTGTGATTTTTTTTCCCTTCAAATTATCAATGCTCCTATTTTCCACATCGAAACTTCATCAAAGGACATGTGGAATTAACTAAGCATTTTATTCGAACAAATATATAATCATATTGAAGGAATCTGGAGATATCAACGAAGAAAAAATTGCAAAAACATAAGTGGTAGAGTTTAAAATTAGATGAATGAATCACGTGGAGCTCGTAAGAGGGTTGGTTTGACTGTCCTAACAATTTTGAATGAGTCCGCTAGCAACCAACAATGGAAAGATGGAAAATTGGAATCTTAACTAGGAATTTTAATAACTTGACGACCAAGTTAAATAAAAAAAAAAAAGACCTTGATGTCGAGATTTCTTAGTACAATACTGAATATATAATTACGACGAAAAATCATAGCTTTTGATTCTACAAGAGTCAAGAAAGAGTGAAAAATCGGTAAATGCAACTGCACTTGTCCCATTGGGCAGCCTAGATGGAACTCATTCAAACATTGATGTCGATTTGATAAAACTTATAATTCGTGAAGTTTAGTCAAAATCACATCACTAGATTCACAATTTTATAATTTGTGTTTTTGAGCCATTTGGAACCGATCTGCTATTGCCATCATCCCTTACAAGGGCAATAAATACAGAGCGCTTCTTATCATCACACTTCTTCGGGATTTCGGATAACCATAGTATATCATCGTAGTTATTTCCAAACACTGCAGAGCACGAGGTGCACTACGTCTAGTAGGTATACACTTGGTATCTGTGCTGAAATTTCTAGCCCATCCATAACTTCAGTACTCTATCCCTGCCACCGGATGCTACTTTCTCACCAACGGGACTCCAGTCAACTGCAAAAACCTGAGACCAAAAGTTCTTAATTAGAGCTTCTCATCCCCCATCACCCCAAGTGGGAAAAAGAAGCGAACATAAGAAAAGGTCGCATATAAGTAGATATGCACGAATGCCCATTAGGGAGGAGAAACATTACTTCGTCTGCATGGCCTGGAAGTTCTTGTTTCAACTTCTGTGTTCGGATATTCCGAATCTGTGAAAGAAAATTACATTAAGAGTATTATTTGCAAGCTACATCCAACAGAGTCTCTCCTGAAATGATATTCTTGACCACACAATGAATACTTTCAAAGAAAACATATGAACCCAGAAGTAATGAAGACAAGCAGTTGAATTATCCATAGATCCCTTGCCTTTAAAGTTGAATCTTTGCTCCCACTCAAAAGCAACCTATTGTCCGCTAACCAGCTGTAGCAAGAAAAATGCTAATTAGCCATAAAATCTGTAAATTCATATATAAAAAGAGGAAGAATACTAACCTTATTTGATAGACGGGCCCCACATGGCCACGAAATGCAGCTACAAACTTTCCTGTAATACCATTCCATAACTTGACTGACTTGTCAAAGGAGGCACTTGCAATCCATTGCCCATCAGGTGAAAAATAAACATGATTGACGAGCTGCAACGGAACAAGTTATGGGTTCAGCGAGTAAGCATGAAGAAATAATCTCAATCAAGTAGATATTTCTTGCGTCATACCACTAAGAAAATAACAGAATTCATATTTCTATTCGACATGCTAATAAGTAATTAACATTTAGAATTATGGTATACTCAAGAATTTTGAACCACTCCAGTTTTCTTTATTTGTGGTTGCAGAAAGATATAGAAAGTTAAGCACCGCAAGCCATTAGTTTTGCTATATAGAGGTTATTTTGGTTGGGTCCAATCACAAAATCTTCCACCATCACATATTTTCATAATCCCAATCAACAAATGGCATAATATCATCTCTCTCACCTCCAGACATGCAAATTACAACAGGGAAATGATATCCTGGTCTAATGGGGCATAAGTGTCAGCATCTAGCTAGAACTTTTCTCTTTCACGGCGTGATATATCGTCTTATCCTTGTCAATTTTCTTACATCCACCCAGGCCACATTTTACACTTCAACATTTTTATGGAGGCTAAAATAATTTTTTCATCTAAAATATTTTCGATTACGTGGTAAAAGAACAAGACGACACTAATAACCAATCACCCATTTGGAGTTCCACCCAAATAAAAGAGCTATCAGGGAACAATAATCATGCACTGCAAAAAACTAGACAAATACAACAGTAATAAATGTGATACCTGTTGATGACCAGTCAAACGAGTTTTGGGGTGTTTGCTGACACTAGGTTCCCATAAGAACATGGTAAAATCATCTGAACCTGAGACCAAACGTTCGGGAGCATTGCCCTTCATTTTTGTGTACCTTTCTAAAGCTACCTGGTGCCACAAGAGAAGTTTTGAAAATAATAGCAAGAGAATAAGAAATGCAAAAATTTAATAGAAAATGCAATAACTTGATGAAATCTAGCAGACAAGAAGGCCGCTTTCTTACTTTGAGCCAAAGGGATGGGGACAACTGAGTAAGGGCAGAGAACAACTAGAAGTAGGCATGCCAATCCTCCACTTACATTTGAAAATTATGCACCGCCTAAAATTTATGCGCTACCCTCAGCTGTTCGTAAAAGGAATAAGAATAATAATGACACTTTTACATCACTAAAGGAAATCTGTGTAAAAGGAAGATACCCACAAGGTTAGAAAGTCAGTTCTTCAGTACCATGATTAAACTGGCTAGGCTTTATGGCTAATGGCGTTGAGGGGATGTTAAAGAACCAAAAATCTATAAGATGAAAGTAGAAAAAGGAAAATACTAAGCGTATGTTTGAACTCCATTTTTCCCAAAACTCATTTTTCAACCCCACATTCTCCCATAAAATAATTTCACACATAAACCCAAAACTTTTCCTACAAAAACTAGTGGAGGTAGCACCAATTTAGGATAAATTAAGAAAATGATGACTTGGGTGGTTTGGACATATCATGAATCATGCCTAGACTTAAACATGCTCTCGTTCATAAGAATGATATAATATCAGTAGAACCGATTAGGAGATGGAGAGATAGATCAAGACTATCTGTAGAGGACTTGAGGTTGCTAAGAATCTAGTTTGTGTTCCAATAGATGTAGCAACACAATATGGAGTAGCGAAAAAGATTCATGTAGCTAACCCCAAATCGATTGGGGATAAGGCTCCTTCGTTATATAATTTGTAGAAAAGGAAATGAATAAACAGGAAAATCATTAAATAAAATAAAATAAAATGGATAAAGTCATTTCATCTATCATTTCTTTGCTTTTAAGATTCCAAAGATCAAGCGATTACCTTCTTCATTTCCTCTGGAGATTAATACTATTTACAAGTGTGATCATAGGCACCAGTCCTAAGAACGTATTCTGTGCCCAATGCCAGACTATTAACCCAATGCCCATGGCCCTGTATTCAACGTGAAGAATCATAAATTATGCAGTAACAGATGTGGGCTAGTTGAGGAAGAGAAAATAGCCAAAACATCGAAGTCACGTGGATTGAGGTCTAAATTTTTAACCAATGATGAAGTATACAGATAGACAATATATCCTACAGCAATACTTTTACAGGAATGTAAACTTGCAAAGTTGAGAAAAGATAATTAATCCAGAAAACTGATCACGGGATTCTAGATTGACACTCAGCTCTTGGTTTACGAAGGTTCGAACTAAAAGGGAGTTTAAAAAAGAAACAAAAAATTAAGAACTTCGTGAACAAAATAATTAAAACATTTTGGCGTGCTCCTTCAATTCACGTATTAGCTTCCCTTGTGAAGTTTCCCACATTTTAATCGTACAATCCTGAGATCTGCAAATGTAAAATGAAAATAGTTTAGATACTGAATTCTTCTCAACATATCGCAAATCAAGTACTTCAGCCCCTCTTTATATACTTTGGAATAGGAGAAGGGAAAGGGAGAGGAACCAGAGAAAAAAGAGCGGGAGAAGAAAATATTCTTTCGATGATCAATTCCTTAGAGTTATGCTAAATATATGTTTAACATTTTTGAATTTATTCCTATTTTCCTATAGCCTATTTCGGGATTGCCTTAGAAATTAGTTCTAGACAGACACATGGTGTGCATTTCTTTCTTTCTATATACATTTTGAAGACCTCAACTTATAACAAGAAAAATATGCAATACTCAGTATGTCTTAATTGAACAGATGAGATTGCTGGAATAAAGACTAGTGGTTTATCTTTATCTTTCGTCACACAATGTTGTCAAAGCAATAGCAGAGGATTTTCAAGCAAGTATAATGAGTTTTCAAGCGGGTATAATGACCACATCTGAAGAACAAATCAAAGTGGCATCATATTCACAAAGAAAGAACTTACATTTGTAGTATATTATGTTTTCTTGAAGAGAAAAATTAAGATAGGTTGATATGGCATCCGCATTTTTTCAGTGACTAAACACTCAGATTAGTTTATTGATACACAGTATGAAAACTTGTTTCGCAAGCAATTACTTATAAATTGTAATCATGCAGAACATACCCGGTATATATCGCTCCATCTCCACCCCATTTAACACAGGTTATAGCAAGTGTGTGTCCTGCAAGACACACAACTCATTTCCTCAATGAAACATCCCATATTCTTGCATCACCATCTTTACTTGCAATCGCCCATTTAACACAGGTTATAGCAAGTGTGTGTCCTGCAAGACACACAACTCATTTCCTCAATGAAACATCCCATATTCTTGCATCACCATCTTTACTTGCAGTCGCCCATTTAACACAGGTTATAGCAAGTGTGTGTCCTGCAAGACACACAACTCATTTCCTCAATGAAACATCCCATATTCTTGCATCACCATCTTTACTTGCAGTCGCAAAGCGACAGCATGGAGCATTTAGATGCAATGGCTCCCATGAAATCCTGGTTATCCATTTCTTGTGGCCCTGAGACATGAATCATGTCATTAGGTCCAAGGTGAAATTTTCAAGAGACATGAAGAAACAAGATATAGAGAAAAAGGAATAACGACATCCCAAAATACAGTTAGAAAATATAGGGACTTATACATTCAATTAACGAGAATAAGTGATAAATTCTGGTGCAAGAGAAATAGTATTATGATTAGATAATTTTAAATAAAGTTTCAGTTTATCATCTTTCCTTTAGTCTGTAAGTATGGGTAACAACTTTGCCATTATAAACTATATTGCTTACTAGGAAAAAAAAATGAGAATGTAAATATTTGAATACACACACTCTTTTCTTAGGGATAACTAAAATGTTTTCAGAATGTAATGCTCTTTTAGCACTGGGTAAGACTGTGATGAATAATGAGGTATAGCAGTTCAAGTATGAGAGATTAAAAAATATATATTGGTATGAGGTTATGAGGATAACATTTAGAACATTGAAATAATATTTTACTGAAAAATTATTATATGAGCTCACGGTAAGTGGATTTCCAGATGCCATCCAATCCGTGGATCCCAACATTGAAGTTCTCCAGCCTTACTTCCACTAACAAGATGTTTACTATCGGGTGACCATGCAATACAAAGTACCCAGTTCTTGTGGCCTGAAGAAAAGGAGAAGTATAACACCACCAAAAGCATTTCTCTGTACTAACTTATAGCAAAAATATACAGAATAAAGGAAAGCAAGGACCATAATTGAAACTTGAAACAGCAGAACAAGGATATGAATAACTCTACAGCCACAAGCAACAAAGAACAGAACATATAATAAGGATGTTCAATTTGAAAAGTAGAAGGCAGAATCACAGGATGTGGGAAGATATTTTTGTGCATTCATGTATTCAAGAGTGCTTGCGTAAACTTGCAAATGCTCTATAATTTGGAAGCTTCCATCTGTGAAAGTAAAAAGTGATCACCATCGAAACATAGAGATACTTTTACAACATATTTGTTGGTTGAAAAGGTTTACAAGTTCAAAGTCCAGATTACAGAACCACTCGAGACGGCTACTCTTGAAGGTATTATTCAAGCAATGAGGAACAAAAGAGTTAATATGGAACTTGAACATGTACAAACAGCATCAGTTAGGTGAGCAGAATGCATGGTGCATGAAGTTCACAGAAAATCATTAATTTGTACACAATACAATAAGTCATCACTGACAAGTAAAATTTCACATCTTCAATATTAGTCCATGGTAAATTGTAGAAGAAAATTTGACGACTAATAGCGCTAAATAAGGTTATAGCTCTATAGAGAGTACAAAAGGATGACTAAATTCATAGAACAGGAAACTAACAAAAGGACCTGATTCCTAGGATCTGATCGAATATTCTATAGCCATACAATCTTTACATGGAAGCTAATATACAAGGAAACTAAATTACAAATCTTCCAACAATCCAGAAAAATAATAAAATTGCTATGGGATTTGATGCCTACTAATTTACCTGAACTTAGGTTTCAAACAAAAGTACTACACAAATTGTATACTTTCATTGGATAGCTTGGAAACGAAAAGTAAATGTGTAGGGCAATAACTCATACACAAGAAAATGAATTCTAACATTTACATGTGAATAATGGAGTCTGGGTATTTAGATCCCATAAACGAACAGTTGTATCACCTGATCCACTTGCCATCTGTCGTCCATCAGGACTAAAGGCAACAGAAAGTACAGCCTCAGTATGACCTGCAATGACAAACCCATAACACATGCTCAAAAGAAGTAACCAAAAAAATAGTGCTTGATGTGACAGCAGTTGAACTAATATGTCTAAACAGAAAATGTACATATGCTTATATGTGTAAAAAATATGTAATATGGACAAGGTCATCAATCGAAAGACAAAAAATTTCCTTGCAATTGGATAAGCGCGTAAAAGCATAATGGAGATTAATAATATGCTATATGATTGAGTAAAAGTGCTATTAGCCCACCCAAAAGTTCCATCAAACAATAATATAACTATTATTCTTCCTTTGTTTCCTTCCATGTAAAAACCCATAAGCTATCTCCATAACTCCTCAAACTGTTTGAAGGCAGATACATCACAAGATAACTCTATTGGCCCATACAAGATGATGTCAGCCAGAGCAATATATTAATACGCCAATGCTTTAAATGGTACTTGCAAACAAAAAAATACTATGCAAACCGAATCATATACAGATAGTATTGTTCCAATACTGAACAAAGACATCAAGGACAAGAAAAAGTATTGTGATGGTAAGACATAATATCATTTACGGGAATGCATATCAATTAGTGATTGACAAACAAACTATGCAAAGCACTAGCAATAGGGCATTCTTCCTCTATAAATCAAATTTTCTTTTCCGGAAAATATTGTGAGCATAAATCTAGAGATATGTAGCTTGCTTCATTTACACCTTGCTTTCTAAAGTATAAAGAGGCAACTTTCCAAACAATAGAACTGCTAAAATTAAGATGCAAAAACATACCAACATAAAAAGAACAGAACTGATTTTGTACAAAAGAAATCTGAATAAAGAAAGATTGTATTTGTGGTTTAGTCAATTATGTATCTTGTCCGGCATGGAGCAGAAGGCAGAAGGAAAAAACATAATTTTATTCAATCCCTGCAGTTTCACTTCATTTTCCTTTATTCAGCCATAGATTATCAAGCTTTCCAATCTCCCCAGTTCATTATCTTGCTTCCTCCATAATCTCTCCTCTTCTAAAACTGATTTTCCTAGCCACTATCATTTCCTATCTTCAAGCCTACTTCAACTCACAAAACTGGGACATCCTAAAACTTTCAAAATCACATGAAAAAAGATTATTCACTTTTCATCAATGTGATGTCAGCCCCACAAATTCTGTGTTTCCTTTGATATTTGTAAGTACTTCTACTACACAAGCTATAAAAGCCCTGCAGTCAAATTCTCATCCTTGCTTTTCACACAAAAGTTACATATCTATCATCAACAGTGAAATCCCATACCAGTCCTACTTAATTGAGTTGAACCACTAGTCTTGGAAATACAGAGGATACTGTGCAACTAGCTCAAAACTTAAATACATGTCGTTAACTGCTAATATCATATAAAAACATAACTGCAATAATATTGTTGGAGGCATAACTAAATGCACAACATGAAATCTCATACCAGTAATAGTTGAAGAACAGGACGTATTCGAAATATTGCTTGGGGCTGGTAAACTATTGTCAAGACCTTCTCCACAGACACTGTAAAAACATTCACATAGAATCTCTGTTGTTTCTTCTATAATGTCATGCCAAGTTCATTTGATAAATAAATATGATAGGATTAGATGGAATTCTCACCTTTATTGCTCTGAAGATATGAACCAAGCTGCACCACAAGCTCGTGATTTGATACATAAAATGCACAAGGCAGTTTTTCCTCCTGAAATAGAAAAAAAGATCCAATAATTTAATCAAGTCTATCAAAATAATAAAGATGTCGAATCCATGTCTCTACTGACAGAATAATAAAGGTAGCATATAACCCCAGATTCCAGAAAACATTAAATTCTTTTTTCCAACTCACAATGATTAATGTTTCATTGGTTCAACATCTAACTGGATAATATTGTTTACTTGTCGTAAATTTGGTATAATTCTTTTTTATAGGAATAAAATTATGGTGACTCCTGTCTGTATGTACACAAAAAAGATAAATAAATAGATTATTAAAATTGCCTCCATATTTTCATTCTAAAATGCTCAAAATGAAATGAGAAAACTTAAACTTCGAAAATGCAATTACTATTAAAAAAATGAACTTTCTAAATTACAAGTGCCATTATTAGAGATTAATTTTGTTTAAAAAATCTTTAAAATTAAGAGAGATTTTACCGAATATAAATCTCCAAATTTATTCAAAACCAACTATTGACTTTAATCATAAAGAGCTAATAAACACCGCATTGAGTTTTTCAAAAACTAAACTCAAAAGTTCATAAAAAGTCGGAAACTTTTTCAAGCAGAGCTTTAATTAATTAAAAATCGAATCCCAAATAAGTACTTACATTGTTTATAATCTGATTGACCATATTCTGAAGCTCCTTGGGGCCAGCGCTTTGCGGGAGGTACATCGACGGTCCCAGAGGAGCACCTTCTGGGTCAGTAAACTGACGCATCACGATGTTGTTCGTCTCCCTCTCTTTTTCCACACCCGCTGCTTCAACTTCCATCTTCGAATTTAATCTGATTTAGCAATTCCGTTTGATACAGTATTTATGTGCGGCTGAAGAAGACGATATATTTTCCGGATTCCGGTCGCGGGGGGTTTTACCGGGGTTTTAGAGAAGTGACAGAATTTGAGTAAAAATTGCACTTAAAAATTCAACTTATGTTATTTTTCACTTTAGTCACCAAACGTTTTTCATTCCAATTTGATCACTTTAAAATACTTTAAGAGTGTGTTTGGTGCATATTAAAATGAAATAATACATTTTTTTGAAGTGATGTGATGGAGAATGTGGTTGAAAATAAAGGAAAAGTTATTGATGTGATGAAAAATATTATTTTATTGATGAATGTGTGCTTGAAAATGAGTAGAAGAATGAGAATGAAAAAAAAAATGTGGTTCAAACAGGGGCTAAATAAAATTGTGGGCAAATACAAATAAAATTTCCAAAAAGAAGAAAAAGAAAGAAGGGAAAAATTCACAAGTAAGAGGATAAGTATCCCCTATTTCAAAATTAAGAAAACAAGTTTGAAATTTCAAAAATCATATTTTTATCAAATTTTATTATGATTTAATTAATTAATTAAATATAATGATGTCATAATTATACAATTAATGGTCACAGATACATAATTAATTGGTCACGGATTATTTTTTAGGTCACAAATCAAAAATTTTATAGGTCACGAATTATTTCGAATAAAAAATTTTATAAGTCGCGAATTATTTCGAGGTCACAGTTCAAAACGTTTATAGGTCACAGTTTGTTTATCGGTCACAGTTCAAAACGTTTCGAGGTGACAGTCCAAATTTTTGAAGGTCACAAATTAGTTCGTGATCACAAATCAACAATTTTACAGGTCACAGATTATTTTATTGGTCCCATATCAAAAAATTACAGGTCACAGGTTAATTTTTAGTCACAAATTGTCGAATTTTAAGGTCACATATTAATTTTTAGTCACAACTTGTAGAATTTTAAGGTCACAGATGGTCCATCATCACCGGCATTCTCCTAGCCACCCTCCAGTCAAGCCTACAACACCACCAGTCAAGCCTCCAACACTCACAGCCAGTCGAGCCTCCAACTCCACCAGTCGAACCATACTAAATCGACCATCACATTGCCTCGCCGGAAGGTTAAAATCACCACCCGACTGCACACACTGCCCCACTACTCAACCAGCGAACCATACCAAATCGACCATCATAAATCACACACAACTCCACAGATCTGTGCGAAGAAATCAAATTAAGAAAAAAAAATTGATTCGCTCCGCCTCCGCCGCGAACTAGCACCACCACCCCTTCTCCTACTCGATCTGCAGCGCCGGAGACGACGGGCGCTTGCGCCGGAGCAGCTCCATCGCCGTGACAACTTCCTCGTCATGGCTGTCGATGGGTAAGGAAGGAGAGAGAGGACGGTAGAGAGAGGAGCTCCATCGCCGTGACACTGCACCCAACTGCCGGACAGAGAGAGAGTCCGATAGAGGAGCTTCTGCAGTGACTGAATCCTCTGAGAGAGAGAGAGAGTCCTCATTGCTGCCTCCTTCTTCGTCGTGGAGATGGTAGAGAGAGAGGCGGCAGGTTTGGGATAGAAATGGAGACAGAGAGGGGTTAGGGTTGGTAAATATTATTATTTTATAAAAATATTAATTAAAATAAAACTTCTAATTTTTGAAAGAAAAAATATCTCACCTGATTTTAGAATTGAGATCTCCAAAGATAGGGTGAGGTGTAATTTCCACAAGAAAGAAATCGGAGAATTTGTCCAGGCAAATATGGAGTCTGCGTACTGGGCCTATTGATGGCCTTAATGGGCTCCGCCCATTAATAAAAGGGACAGGTCGGGTCATACTTATAGGCCTCAAGTCATACTCCCCAAAATCCATTTTGAAGTAAGGCGAAAATACAAAAATGTCCCTGTGACTTACAAAAAATTAATTAGAAAATAAAATAATTATTAATTACTTTCCCTCTCTCTCTCTTTTTCTCTCCATTAATCTCTTCAAATACTCCTATCTCTTTAAAAGTTAATTAAGCATATCTAGCTCTTGATGGCCGCTTTGATCCAGATATTCGGTTTACTTAATTTAGAATGAAGGATAAATATTTTGTCGAATTTTGTATTTGTTATTTTTTCTAATTTAAAATATGAGGGGCATATAAGTCTTTTCAGCACTCCTTACGAATTTTTTGTACATAAGCATGTTAATTAATGAAAGTTTGAAAATATAATGCGGTGAGGAAAAAAGAGACATAAGTGCAACAAATGATGATGGGAAAATTTCAAGTTCGATAACCCCCTCAAATATTGTTCACTTATAATTTCATCCCTTCCTCTTTAATTGGAAACTAGTAATGTATAGGAAATTGGATTTGTAATCTTATAATATCAAGTTGTAGCATGCTGGTTTACATCATCCAATTCACAACAAATTGAATGAAACCTAGCGAATAATTTGCCGAAACATGGACTCCAAGTTTTGTCTAAGGCCCCCTTTGGCACTTAATTTTCATGCAATCTTAAAATTTTGTAAGATTGAAAAATCCTTAAAAAGAGTTTTTACCTGTTGGGAAAAATCGCCTCGAACGCAAGAATTGAGATTAATGACGAATTGAAATAATAAAGATCACGAGAAAAATAACAAGATTAAAGTAAAGAAAATAGAGAAGAAATTGGCAGAGGAATCGATGTTTTATTCAACAATATGGAGAGAAATTACAAAACTTAGCAATATTGGCTTCTCTTGTCTCTAAAACTGAATGAAGAGTCTACTATTTATAGGGAAGATGTCCAAACCCAAGATGGAAACAAAATAAAAGAAAATCACGTGAAATAAAGGAAAAATATTTTCTCAATATTTTTCCAATAAAACACGTGAAATAATGGAAATAATATTTTTCCAAATACGCGCAAAGAAAGAAAAATATATTTCCAAATATTCCAACATAATTTGGGTTTTTCACATATGGTAACCCTAATTTGAGTCACCAATTCCAACAATCTCCACCTTGACCCAAATTCCGGTGCAATAAACAAAACTTCAAAATTTCTCCACCTGAGAAATGACTCCGTCTGCATCGAAATGACCAACCTCCTCAAGCAGTAATCAAAACTCTCCATCACACAAAAACATCTTCCTCTGCCCGGCATCCACAAGCGACACCCGAACCCTAAACCCGGATTCCCAAAATTCCAACAAAGAATTGATTATTGACCAAACAGGGTCGAAGCACTCCCTGTAGCAGAATCTACTCCAGATGCATGATCAGAAGGCCCTTTACTAGAACTGTCACCTTCAACGATCCCAAATGCATTGCAGACATCTCCAACACTGTACCTACGCTCCATGAGTCCAACACTAGTATGTGAACACAGTGAATCCGCTGTAATTGGTGGCAAAGCGAAATCACCAACGCTCCCCTGAGCAATGTTCTGAACTGACCCAGAGTCTGTCACAAGAGGTACTGTACCAAATTGAATTTCCACCACGGTACTGAACTTGTCCAAATGTCTCTTAGCTGGTTCTGCGCTCCCCTGCAAGATGTACAAATGAGACTTCATCCGTCCCTCCAGTACAACCTGAGCACCCTTTCGGACCTTCAATGCTCCACCTCCACCAGAGAATTTATACCCCTTTGCATCCAGGGTACTTAGCGAGATGAGATTCCTTTTCAAGTCTGGAACATGACGAACCTGATCAAGTGTTCTGATTGTCCCATCCTGCAACCTCAATCTGACCCGACCAATTCCAGCAACCCGGCAAGACTGGTTGTTTCCCATGACAACTCCACCTTGCTTTACCGCCTCATATGTTTGAAACAAGTCCCGATTGGGACACACATGGTGCGAACATGCCGAATCAAGAATCCACTCCTCGTCAGGCTTGGACTCCACGTCAGATACCACGGTCACCATCACATCACCGCCATCAGATAAATACTCGGTAATATTAGCATCATCCGAATTAGAAGATTGCCCCCTATTATTTGCAACTAAATTACCTTTAGCCTGCAACTTGTCGCAATCCCTCTTGACATGCCCTTTCTTCTTGCAGTAGAAGCAATACACATTGCTGAAGTTCACTTTCGGTCTACCCCTCCGTCGATCACCATGAGAAACCAGAGCGTCCCCATCACTTGATGTAGTAGCTCCAACCAAATGCTTCATCTTCTCCTTTGAGAATAAAGCATCGTAAGCGTCTTCAATGGTCAACGTGTCACGACTGTACAAGATCGTGTCTCGAAACGACGAATAAGAAGCGGGTAGAGAACATAACAGGATCAAGGCCAGATCCTCCACATCATATTTTACCTCCAACGTTTCCAGATCTGCAACAATTTCCTTGAACACAGCCAGGTGGTCTTCCAGTGATCCTCCTTCTGCCATGCGATGAGAATATAGCCTTTGCTTTAGATGCAGTTTGCTCGTGAGACTTTTGGTCATGCATAACTGCTCCAGTTTCAACCACAAAGCAGCCGCCGTTTTCTCTTTCAAGACATCCTGCAGAATATTATTGGAGAGATGAAGATGAATCTGCGATAAAGCCTTCCTGTCTTTCCGTTGTTTCTCCTCCGTTGTCCAGTTTGCTGGCATTTTATCAAAACCCAGCAGAGCATCGTCCAAATCCATCTGCGCCAACACAGCCCTCATCTTTACTTGCCATAGCGAAAACCTTGTATTGCGATCCAGCAGCGGAATATCATATTTCAATGAAGTCATCTCTGAAAAATCTCAATCAAATCACAAAGAACCTGCAACCTTGGCTCTGATACCACTTGTTGGGAAAAATCGCCTCGAACGCAGGAATTGAGATTAATGACGAATTGAAATAATAAAGATCACAAGAAAAAGAACAAGATTAAAGTAAAGAAAATAGAGAAGAAATTGGCAGAGGAATCGATGTTTTATTCAACAATATGGAGAGAAATTACAAAACTTAGCAATATTGGCTTCTCTTGTCTCTAAAACTGAATGAAGAGTCTACTATTTATAGGGAAGATGTCCAAACCCAAGATGGAAACAAAATAAAAGAAAATCACGTGAAATAAAGGAAAAATATTTTCTCAATATTTTTCCAATAAAACACGTGAAATAATGGAAATAATATTTTTCCAAATACGCGCAAAGAAAGAAAAATATATTTCCAAATATTCCAACATAATTTGGGTTTTTCACATATGGTAACCCTAATTTGAGTCACCAATTCCAACATTACCATAAAATCTTTGTGTTCACAATTTATTCGTCTTGTAATTTTCTATCAATCATATGGATGAAAAAACTCGTATAGCTGCATCACGACACACATAGCCCCTATTTGGTAGAGATTAAAATTAGATTTTTAACAAATTTTGATAAAGTTGATGAAATGTGTGATTGAAAAAATTGTGCGTCAATAAAATATGTAGTTAAAATTAATTGTTGATTTTAATTTAGTTTAAAATCTAAATTTTTATTCCTATAAGCAAGGCATACAACATCTTTTGGTTACTGTCGCCACAATTATATGGCCAAATTTGCTACTTGTACACAATTGATACACAATTCACTCACATGAGTGGGGGCACACAATGGGACCCACACACATATGAGAGTGTTGTGTACCAAGTGTGTAAGTGTAGCATTTCTCTTGTATGGCCTTTGATGTCCCTCATCCTTGATTCTTTTCTTGAGTTTCGAATCAACTCAATTATGGTGTCTCCTATTTCTGATAATTCCCAGGTATTGGCAAAATGGGATTTCGAAGTCAATGTAAGAAACCCTAATAAGCATACCAAATTTTCTTACGACAACATAGATATCCTCGCAATTAATTACAATGGGAAATATCTGTTTGGAGCAGTAACTGAACCTCTTGTGCAAAACACCCAATACTAACGGTTCATCTAATGCAAGTACAATTGTCCCACCATTGTTGAAGCTGAAGAATTTTATTACAAGATCAGTTGATCAAGATGGGGTTTTGCAGGCCAGTTTTCAAGTAAAATTGCGAACTACAATTAAGGAAAACTCGGTTGATAGGCACATTATTCGTGGGTTCTGTAAGGACGTTATAATGGCATTATCGTCTAAGGAAACAAAGGGAACAACGCCGAGACGTAGTTAGGGAGGACAAATTTTATTTTTTTAATACTAGATTGATGTGCCCTATAACGAGCAAGAGAAGTATTTAATGATTCAGACACTGAAATTTCGAGTAAATTGTTTGAACAGTCACTGAACTTTAACATGGTCACGACTTACTCACTGAACTTCAAATTGCCTCTAAATGGTCACTGAACTTTCATTAATTGCACCACATCCAACACTCAGAGGGCAATGGGGTGGGCAATTGGAATTGAGTTCAGTGACCATTTAAAGGCAATTTAAAGTTTAGTGAATATGTAATGACCATATTCAAGTTCAGTGAGTGTTCAAACAATTTACTTCTGAAATTTCATGCATGGAACCTTATCTATAGGATTATCGAGCCATTCTACTTGGAGATTAATTTCAAGTTCATTCAAGAATATTTTAGCCTTTTAGAATTTTATATTACTTGCATCCTTCTTTATATAGGGATTGAAGTAGACAAATTGATAAATTAGTTTAAAGATTCAAGTCCCATTTATTATTAGATATTTATTAATGTTTATGAGTTTGAAAATAAACATGAATAAAATATTATTCAAAGTTTTAATTTTTTTTTTTGTTTTGGTATTAGACAAATAAATTTTAGATTCGATTTTCAATATTCCTCATTGTTAGAAATTTTCCGTGTCACGTTTTAAAATATGGTAAAAGAAAAAAAAAATTTATTCTTAATTTAAAGAACAATCTACTTTTTCCTTTATTTTTTGGACAGTAGGCCAATCTGCTTTGTTATAAGATTTTTATTTATTTATTTATTTTCTGAGGTTGAGCCAAACCCTAATTTTTGTTATTTTATGTTGAAACTCACCATTTAGGCTCTCCATAATTGCAGAAATATGGATCAACTTAAATCGAATTACTTATACTAAGGGTCCGTTTGATTGACAAATGTGGAAAATTTTTCTAATTCCATGTAAGTTGGAAAATAAAAATCCAAGTACCCCATACGAATTCATTTTTCATGAAATTGACAAAAGAACAATTTTAAAGTGGTTGTACATTAAAATTCGAACTCTATTTCCACTCTCGTATCAAACAGCTAAAATAGAAATTGAATTCCTCAAATGTGACATTTTTCATGAAATTTAATTAAACCAATCAGACGTACCCTAAGTGCAAGAAAATTGAGCCAAATTCATGTATTTCAAGTATCTTTTGGGAATTTCCTTAAAATAATCAGACGTGTTAGAATTGCTTATTTTATAATCCACGTATCTTTAATTTGTGGATCTTGCTTAGTTGACAATTAATTAATTAATTAATTTCGTTACCGAGTTTGGCATCTTGCTCAGTTCGAACAAACATGTTAGGTTTTGCTAATTTAAATCCGCGTATCACTATCATTAATTAGTGGATCTTGTTTAGTTGACAAAGTTGGCAACTTGCTTAGTTGACGTGCATGTTCGGGCTATAACTTGTGGATCTTTCGTGATGCATAAAAAAATGGACCAACCTTGGTGCATGTGAACCCCTACCGAAGACACACAAACAAAGGTGGGGTGAGTATTTTTGAGGTAGTTTTTAATGAGGCGGGTCGCCTCAGGTGAGGGGCTTGGCTCCGCCAGGCCAGAACAGCACAATTCTAAAAAAAATTAGTAAGTAGTAGTTACGGGTCTTAAAAATGTGTGGATGAAAAATATTACTCATGAGCTAAATTTCACTTGCAATGAGTTTAAAAATACTTATAAGTAAAAAATAACTTTTAAGTAAAATCGTTTAGAAATTAAAAAAAAATTATTTCATGAGTTAAATCATAGCTTATAAGTAAAAAAAAATAACATATAACTAAAAAATTCGCTTACAAGGAAAAATATACTAATGAGTAAAAAATCTTGTAACTAAAACAATCTACTTATAAGTAATATAATCACTTTAGAGTAAATTTACATAGAAGTAAATTTAAACAACCACTGTATTACTTAATCAAAAGTAAGTTCATGAACAAACACTTTAGATCACCATCTAGAGAGTAACCACACATCACCACCATCTAAATTTTGAAATGCAAGAGGGTCGAGGTACCTTCGCTCATTTTTTTCTGATGACAAGTGACAAATTCAAGATACGATACTTCCCTGTAAATTGGAGGATTTTCTAGCTCTTTTAGAGGTCCGCATGGCTTTAGGATTTGATCAGAACTAGGATAGAAGAAACACGCAGATGAAACCCGAGTTCCAATAGATCTAGCCAATACTCGATGCTCCACGCTCTTGAATTTGTCGTTGCTAATAAGCTGTTTATCAAAAATTTCAAATTAAAATGAAAGCATCTTGAATTGAATAAATCAAACTATCATATACATACCTGCATAAAACTTCCGATGTTTGCTATTAAAGCTCCTTTAATGGGAGGCACATCGACCCAATAGTTGTCGTGATGAATCTGGAGGCCACCGGTGTCATCCTGGACCAAGACGGTCAGACTTGTGGGATCAGCGTGCTTCTCCGTGCCAAAAGTCCTCTCCGGTTCAGGACAAGCTGGATAATATAGGCATGACAAACTCTCACTTTTCAAGAATTGCATCTTTCCTAGGAAATCTCGATTCAGACCTAATGCTTCCGAAAGTAAATCCGACAACGTGTCTCTCAATTTCATCATGAATTTCATGTACTCGTTGATTTCATTTCTGCAAGAAATGAGTAATAGTTTTTAAGAACAAATAATCTAAAGACATTGAATCGAAAAAGTGTACGTACCTGCAAACTGGTGGTATAGCAGCAGGGTTGAGCATATCATCGGTAAATGTACAAGAAAATGCATCCCTCCAACTTGCAGCATGTGATTTTTGCAAATTTCCCAGTATGGTATAAAATTTCACAGTTCGCATCACGTCTGTAGAATAGTACTCCATCTTCGACTCTGTTGGCTGTTCATGAAATTTTCGCGTGCCTTCTAATATGGCGTCCATTACACTCATTGGCACTCCATGATTAACCATTTGGAAAAATCCCCAGCTTTCAGATGCCTTGCGAATCTCATCAACAATCTCCATTCGTCGAGTTGTAAGTTCTTGAAAGTCTATAACCGGGATCTGTAGCTGAGTGACACTGTTGCTCGATTTCTCAGATTGATCAATGAAGAACCTCGGGATTTTTACAACCCCGGAATCTACAAGTCCTTTGACACCAGCTTTTGTTTTTTCAAACTCCTCCACTTCTTTCTCCCAATCATAATCACCATCATTTCCCATATTCATGCTGTATGGAGACACAAGGATCAGCTACAAGTGCAAGAAAATGGAGTTAGATTCCATGTTCTTAGAAGACCAACTAGAGATTATAAAACAAAAAATCCTCGGACAAACAAACATGTTAGGATGTGCTAATTTTTTATAATGCTTGTATCATTAATTAGTGGATCTTGTTATTATTCTATTCTATACGTAGTTTGACATATAAAATGACCCGTCACTTGAATTCATTCTTTTTTAAGTCATCAAAGAAAGTATAGATTAGATTGAATTCAATGGTAGGAAGAAAGTAAAATTTATGGGATGGTAGAGAATCATCAGAAAATGACAAAATGCATTAGAAGGAAGTGGTTGAGAGTTGAATTGTTACTAAAATTGAATGAATACTGTGAAGAATATTATAAATTGTTAAAAAATACAACATTGGTAGCCAGACGGGCCGCTCGTTGAAACGAAATTCAAAGGTTAATTTGTTTAGGATCGAAACTGCTCTGATACCATGTGAAGAATATTATAAATTGTATATAATAAACTTATTTCTATTACAAAGTAGAAGACCCTATTCATAGGGTTACAAATAACTGTAAAAGGAAAAAATCATAAAAGGAAAGATTACGCAATCTACTACTAAGGAAAGTAATCATACACTAAGGAAAGTAAATATTATAATAGCAATTTTTGACGATCTCTGTAATCTTATTCAATAGCCTTTACATCCCCCTCAAATTGATGCTGGTAAAAACATCAATTTGCAATCATGAATTGACGACGACGACGATACTTGTGCCCACGAAGAAGAACTTCAAATCAAAGCAACTAACGACGAAAATTACTGACGACGAGAGACCAAGAACAACAGATAACTACTCCAAAACGACGTCAAGAACACTCCAAAGAAACGACGAGAAACCACGAGAAACTACGAGAAGACGACGAGAACGCATACTCC